GTGAAAATGAAATTGGCTTAATCTCAAGGTGTCAGGTTTTCATTTTATTTTTACATTGCCTGCCAAAATATATTCTTGTTTTAAAGTAGACTATTTGGTCCAGGATGATAGCATCTTCAGTGCTTTTTACAACTACTGTAGTGAGATTACCTTGACTTGAAATGCAAGCCTAAAAGAACGCATCACCCAGATGAGTTTGGAAAAGGATTCTTCTGAAAAGGGATTGATTGTGTCTTTAGAATATTGCTCTTTCAGTTTTCTCTTTTGCCAAGAGATTATTCATACCTGCAACATGATGCCACATTTCATTAACTTTAGTTGTTTTAAATAATTATATAATATATACATATATAAATATATACACTTAAAAATTTGGATGAAATACATCAAAATATCATTTTTAGTAAGATACGTATTATTTATTATAAGGCCTTATTATGTAATATTTAGTAAAATGTTAACATATGTAACATTTCTTTTCTCAAATCCTAATTTCTAGGAAATCAAATGGAATCAAATGTGAAGTAATCATTTTAATAAGCTAAATATGAGCTAGCCTATTGCTGATATGAAATATATTTAATTCAAAAAACTAAGAAGGAATATATAAAGATTTCTCTCTTTTTTTTTAATCTTGTGGTTTTGTTGATTAGAATGATAGGTTTAAAAACTAGATTACATGCTAACTACTATACACACACATACATACATACGTACATACATACATACATACACACACACACATACAGAGAAGGAAAAAATAAACGAAAAAAACCAGAGTAGTTTTAAAAACCTTGTGGGTGGGTGGCTCAGTCGGTTAAGCATCCAATTCTTGATCCTGGCTCAGGTCCTGATCTCAGGGTGTGTGAAATCAAGCCTCATGTCAAGCTCTGTGCATAATGGGGAGCCTATTTGGAATTCTCTCTCTCCACTCTCTCTCTCTCTGGCCCTCCCCCACTCACACATGCATCTTATGTCTCTCAAAAGAACATTTTTTAGCTTCTACACAGCAAAGGAAACAATCAATAAAACTAATAGGCAACTGACAGAATGGGAAAAGATAGTTGCAAATGACATATCAGATAAAGGGCTAGTATCCAGAATCTATAAGGAACTCACCAAACTCCACACCCAAAAAATAAACAATCCAGTGAAGGAATGGGCAGAAGACACGAACAGACACTTCTCCAAAGAGGATATCCAGATGGCCAACAGACACATGAAACGATGCTCAGCATCCCTCCTCATCAGGGAAATGCACATCAGAACTACACTGAGATACCATCTCACGCCGGTCAGAGTGGTGAAAATGAACAAATCAGGAGACTATAGATGTTGGCGAGGATGTGGAGAAATGGGCACCCTCCTACGCTGTTGGTGGGAATGTAAACTGGTGCACCCCCTCTGGAAAACAGTACGGAGGTTCCTCAAAAAATTAACAGTAAACTCCCCCTATGACCCAGCAATAGCACTGCTAGGAATTTACCCAAGGGATACAGGAGTGCTGATGCATATGGGCCCATGTACCCCAATGTTCATAGCAGCACTTTCAACAATAGCCAAATCATGGAAAGAGCCTAAATGTCCATCAACAGACGAATGGATCAAGAAGATGTGGTTTATCTATACAATGGAATACTACATGGCAATGAGAATGAAATCTGGCCATGTGTAGCAACATGGATGGAACTTGAGGGTGTTATGCTGAGTGAAGTAAATCAGGCAGAGAAGGACAGATACCATATGTTTTCACTTATAGGTGGATTAGGAGGAACTTAATGGAGGACCATTGGGGAGGAGAAGGGGAAAAATAGTTGGGGAGAGGGAGAGAGGCAAAACCATGAGAGACTCCTGAATGCTGAGAACAAACTGAGGGCTGATAGGGGTGGGGGAGAGGGGAACGGGGGTGATGGGCATGGAGGAGGGCACTTGTTGGGATGAGCACTGGGTGTTATATGGAAACCAACTTGACAATAAACTATGAAATAAAAAAATAAAAAAGAATATTTAAAAAAAGTGGTTTTAAGATTGCCTTAAAATGATTACATGAGTCTATAAAATATGTAAGATTAACAAATAATATTTTCTTTAAAAAGTCAGAAGATCCCTAAGCCTATTGTAAATAAAGAATAATTGTAAATAACCCCATTTAAAATCATGTTTTGAAAATAATACTAAAAGTAATTTTAAAACACCTTAAATCCATAGACTGTTTTCAGATTATCAAGTAACTTTTGCCTTACTGTTTCCCACAATGAATCAAGAAATAAAATAGGATAGGTATGAATATGATTATTCCAATTTTGTAGGAAGAAACTTAAACGACAGAGAGATAACCTTTTAAAAGCTTCCTAGATAATAAAATTGCACCTTAAAATTTATTATTTGATTAATAATTTTTATTTAGTATCTGTTATATATCACTATAAATCGTGTTGTGAAGACATAGAGGTTAATTGTGGATCCTATCTTGTAACATGCAGCTAATAAATATTTTGAAAGTCTATTTTAAATCCATAGATTGTTTCAGAATATCAGTAATATTAAAATGTGGGAACAATGTTGTATGCCTTAATTTATGAGAAGCTATACATTGGATACTATAACTTTTATAAATATGTGTCTCAATACTAAATAGCCAGTCCACTTTAATATGTAACATGCATATACTACATATAGATAGATAGATAGATAGATAGATAGATAGATAGATAGATATAGCTATACAATATAGTTGTATACAATTATATAGTATATAATTATATTTATAAAACATTTTTCATGTCTGCAGTGAATGAAATTTTTTTCCCCTCTGTCTTCTGCAGTTCCTATGATCAGATAACCAAAAACTTTCTAAAACTTTAATGCCAAACACAGAAATTGCCATTATAACTTTAAAAATACAAAAGCCTGTCGATGAGCATCCAGAATGGCAGGCAGCACTAGAACTGCACAGCATCAGGTAGACTGAGGCTCAGGAGATGGCCCTATGCAGCCCACAGCTGCCTCACTTCCATGCACCCACACTGCCAGCCCCACCCACCCCCCAGGGCTCTTCTGGGGATCTAGACCCACAGATAAGTAACTACGCCCCGAGTCAGGTTCAGCTGCCCTGAATATATACTATGTGTCATATCTCAGTTAAACTAAAGAATATATTTAATTTATGCTTTCCTTTAAAAATCAATAAAGCTTTAATATCTCATGTTAAATATTTCTTTAGGCTGGTCCACAAAGTAAAGGGAATATTCTGGTACATATATAGTATGGGTATATGATAATTCATGGAAATGTGAGAAAGCAAAGTCCCATTTATTGAGAATTTGCTATGTTGCAGTCATTACTCCCTTTCTATATATAATCATAATAAATGCACTGTTAAACTTGCCCCTCGGCCAAGCATGCTTTTTGTCTGGCTAAGAGTATTTCATGGTTCAGCCCAGATGTCACTTCCTCTGAAAAGCCGTATTTTCGCTGTCCCCTGCTGTACACAAGTTGCATCTTCATTGTGTTTGTAAAACACTTTCCACTAACTTTTAGTGTAAGGATACTGAGACTGTGTTTTCTTTATTTCTTAGAGACCTTGAGCTCAGTGTAATAAGCAACTATATATTTATGTATTAATAAAGGGCACTCAATATAGTATCTAGTGAGAATCTGTAGAATGGTAAATTAATTGGATGAAACGTTTGAGTATGATATCCCAGTAGCTTCTCCAGGAATAAAATTTTTCATGATACTATGTGTGTATCATTATACAAAGCATATAGAAAGTTCTCACTGTTCATATCTTAACCATATTCCATTTTAAAAACTAGGAAAGAAAAAAGGGAAACATTTTGGGCCTCATTCTACAGTAACTAGTTCACATAAAGTCTAATTATTTAATATTTTATATGAAAAAAACACAATAAATATATGCTTCAAAATCTGTTATTCCAAGCAATATTCTAACATGGAACTTGAATTTAATTCTAGGGTTTCATTTCATTTATGGTTTTTTGTTAATGTTTGTTTATTTTGAGAGAGAGCGAGCGAGCACATGCATGCCTGCATGAGAGTGACAGAACAACAGAGAGAGAGAGAGGGAGAAAAAGAATCGGAAGCAGGCTCCACACTGTCAGTGCAGAGCCCATCGTGGGACTCGATCTCACAAACTGTGAGATCATGAACTGAGCTGAAATCAAGAGTCAGACACTTAACTGACTGAGCCACTCAGGTGTCCTTCATTTATGTTTTGAAATGCTTGTACTTGTCACATAAAGATGAACAATGTAATATACAAAATAACTCACTGTTTTTAAGTATAAGTATTTAATAACAGGTAAAATGGTTGCATATGGTCAGTTATGCAGGCCACCTTAAATAATTCAAAACAGTTGTTGCAAAGAGGAGAGGGACAAAGCAAAAATTAAGAACAAAATATATAAATCGAGTGTTCCATTCATCTGTAAACAGACGCATGTCTGCCAGTCTTTCTGAGATGAATGTGATTTAACCTCAGTGTGGTATTTGGCAGCATTGCCTTTCACTTCCATGAAATTCTCATCTTTCTTCCCTTGAGTTGACTAAACAGTGCTGGTTTTCCTCACCCTTTCTTGAATGATCCTGTTTCCTCTGCTTTGCTGGTGTCTCTTGTCTAAATGGAGCTATTCTCGAAGAATCTGGACCCCTGTTACCTTCCTTTGTGTGTCATCTTTAGGAAATCCCACCTCTAACCCTCATTTAGGTGTCCTTTATATTCTTTGAAATCTAAATCTGTGAGCTATGGCCTCATCTCTGTGATCTGCCACTTAGTGGGTTTAGACATTGATCATGATGTGACTTCTCAGTTTCTACGCTTCACTTTCTTCATCAGTAGGATGAACATGATTGTAGAAATTCCCTCCTCGGATTGTCACGAGGAGCAAATGAGATATGTATATTCATTCCCAGGACCTGTTCCTCCTCCATTTTAAAATCTTGAGGCTCCTTGTAAATTAGGACAGTTTTTCTTGACGATGTCAATTCCCTCTTCCTGTTTCTTCTGTCGCCGCCCTTATCACTTCTGCAAGCTTCTAAAGGCCACAGTGCAGTGTCGTTCCTTCAGGGTAAGCTTGCCCTCTTCAAATGCAAGCCGCCTAAGCAAGTGACGTGCTAAATGGAAATCAGCTGTCTGTTAAAAAGGGGAATTCTGTTTTTCAGTTCTATTTTTCAGCCAAGCACACTGTACACACTTCAAGCCTCAGAAAGCAGTGTTGATTTTTTTTAAGGGTACATTTCTTGATCAGATTCTTTCTAAGATGACAGATGCAATCATACCACTTTCTGACTCAAAAATATTCATTTGACTCAGCCGAGCATTTCAAACAGTGAGGATCCAGCTGACTTCCCCATGTAGCAGCTCTGCCACCCGTGTTCGAAGGGCTTCAGGACGCCACACATTCCTAGAAGTACTGCTCCTACATTGATCCAGAGAGTGCTGTGGGCAGGCGCGCAAAAACTAAGCATTCCATGTGTTTTTGGCAAGACCCTCTCCTTTCCTCCCTGCTCACCCCTGACTCATCTCCGGTGTCACATTGTCACTGTCTGGGAAACGCGGAGCAGATTTGAGGGGATGGAGAGAGTGGTAACAAGAGCTGACTGGGGTGTCCTGGCATTTACAGACTGGACGAAGTTCTGAATTAGTTCCAGTGGTCTTTCTAATGGATGGTATTTGAGGCTGTTGGAATCTGGTTTTTGGGCGCCATTAGTAAATATCTCTTGGTCTTCAGCAGGAAATCAATGGATCTTATTCCCTTTATTCAAAATCTGGTTTATGTGGGCTAGTATTTTCTTTCTGCTGTTATGTGTCCATTAAGCTACAGTGTAGTTGCAAACTTACTAGTTTATTCATTGCAGGGACGAACATGGTAATGGTAACGTTTTTGCTGCCTAATATTTAATAATGTCTTTGCCATTTTTGACTTTCTGTAATATCCAGTCTTCCAGTGTCGGTCCCTCTTCACTACATCCCATCTCCTCACTGGCTCTAAAACCAGATACAACACCACCTGTGAAAGTTGATCCTACTTGACTATCTCTTCTTCCCTGATTTCTGTGAATCACTAATGAGTCTTCAGGCTTACCAGGGCTACATCTACCTATTTGCTGCCGGCAGTATAATGCTGAGCCAAAGATTGAGCTCTGAATACCCTGAATGTGTAATACGCATTATTGACCTATTGTTGAGTACCAGACAGTGAAGCAAATGAATAGTATTTTATTTATGCAATTAAATAAACTATTTTTAATTACTTCATCACTCCCTGTTTCCTTGCACTGACATTCTGACTTCTGTTTGCATTGTTGTATTTATAATATTTCTCTAATAGTGAGCTCATTAAATAAATTAAAGTATATCTACATAACTGGTTATTACATCATCATTAAGAATTACATTCTTAAAGAATCTTTAAGGGCATCAGAATATTCAAGGTAATGTTTGATAATAGTTTCAGACTGCTCAAAACTTTTTCATCAACAGGTAATCCTGTAAAAAAGAAATATATATGCATTTATTTATGTATGTATTTATATATTTTTAAATGTAAATGGAGTTCAGATTCAATATATGAGACTTAAACAACTTAAAGAAATGACTAGATACCTGTGGTCCTGCCCAACTGAGGAACCAAATCTTCCTTGAATGTTTACTTAAATTAGATTTTTTCCTCTCTTTTTAAGGTTTATTTATTTATTTTAAGGGAGAGAGTGTGCGCACACAAGCACGTGCGTGCACCAGTGGGGGAGGGGCAGAGGGAGAGAGAGAGAATTTCAATCGAACTCTGCACTGTCAGCGCAGAGCCCGAAATGGGGCTTGAACACACCAAACGTGAGATCATGACCTGAGCTAAAATCAAGAATCGGACATTTAACCAACTGAACCACCAAGGTGTTCCTTGAATTTTTTTTCTCCTCCCTACTAGTTTCAGCCTAGAGTCTATAACAGATCATTCTCTTCCATATATGAATCATAAGTGAATATGAATATGTATTTGTTGTGGTTTTTTTTTATTATTATATAATTATATTGGTCCTTCTAACAGCAAGTACTATATATTTAACACTTAAGATAACATGAGTATCATAGTAAATAAGTGATAAATATATGAATGAACTGAATAATACTGCTTTAAAACCTTACTGAGATTTCCCAATATTGATTAGTTATTAAATGTGAAGTAAAAAACTATCTAAAAAGAATATTCACATTTTTATGAAATTTTTATATTTTGGATATATGACTAATCATATTCTTTTGAAAAATTAGCCTCATAGTACTTAAGCAATCTTTTATTATTCAGATTGTAAAGCCTTCACTCACTTTTTATTTAAAAGCTGAACTAGTGGAGGGAGTGTACACTGATGGTTCACAACCTGAACTTGGCACAAATTAGTGTCGTTGGTTCTCTAATATTTTAAAAAATGAGGTTAAATGAGTCACGCACTTGCTAGTTCTCAGGGTGCCTGTATCTAGCTATGAATGTTATACATGATATTCATCTACCATTATCATCAATACTCACTAATGACCTCATAGCTTGGTTTTGAGAAAATACTTTGATTTTGAAAGTTGTCTATTTTGAAAGTTATCTATCTACCTAACTACATACCTACCTATCTAAAATGATACCCTATTACTATGACTTTCAGGTCAGAATCAAAATCAGTAGGGAAATTTAGATACCTTTTTTTCAAAATATTCAGTAGGAAACAATATATTGTTTGAAAATCTAAATAAAAGGATAAAAATATGTCCAAAATGTCATAATTATAGACACAGAAGTTAGGATAGTAGTTAATTCGAAGGAAGATATGAAGGAGTGAGTTTGAAAGAAGCTTCAAATAATGATAGTACTTCATTTCTTTAGTTGAATCAGGGGTTCCCAGGTGTTCGTTATTAAGGTATTCTTTCTACTCCACCCATATTTCATACATGATTTTTGTATAGGCAGTGTTTACTGAAAAAAATAAAAAGAGAGGAAAACCACAATATTATAGATAGTTCAAAAATATACGAAAGTAAAAGTACACACATATTAAAACCATAACAAAAACCAAATGTTTAACAACACAAAAATTAAAATAGCGGTTGTTCCTTAGAGCACATAGAATAAGATATTATAGCAAAAGTTGTTTCTCATCATAGTGTCAGTGTTCTGCTTCCTAAGTAGATAGTGGATGCATGGATATTCAACCCTTTTAAAATTTTTCATTGTATATGTATCTCACAAATTATTTTTGATGATTGTCTTTAATATTTTATCATTAAAAAAAACTTTCCAAATAACCCATTTATGCCTGTCACACTGATAGAACCAAAGTTAGCCCCTATTCCTTTGGAATACCAGTTAAGTGTACTTTGCCATGCAGCTTAAGATCTGAAATAGACTATTAGAATTACTCTGCACAAATACCAACATTACTGGATAAAAGTGGAAAACATCATCACCACTTGAGTAACACTTGACTTACCCTGACTGTATCACTTAGACTTTAATTAGAGAAACAGAACCATTGGGAAGTATAGAATGTGTATAATAAGAGACTTGTTTTAGGGATTTGACCTTAAACAGTTACGGGAGCTGGGTAAGTGATTGCTGAGAAACTTACTGGAGATTGAAGGATGAAGGGCAGGCAGAGGAAAGGAAGATGAATTTAAAATAGGGGTGAGGGGTGAGCAGAGGGATGCCGGGGTGGCTCAGTTGGTTAAGTGCCTTACTGAGGCTCAGGTCATGATTTCAGTTCATGAGCTCGAGCCCCACATTAGGCTCTGTGTTGACAGCTCGGAGCCTGGAGCCTGCTTCAGATTCTGTGTCTCCCTGCTTCTCTGTTCCTCCCCTCCTTGCACTCTGTTCTCTCTCTCTCTCAAAAATAAAGATTTTTAAAAAGTGTATTTTTAATAAAATAAAATAGGGGTGCGCAGGGACAAGCTAGAACCCATGAAGACAGGCCAAAAGCCCTGTCTATTCTCACTGTCTCATCCTAAAAGCTAAGGAAGAAGCTGGAGAAGTATCCAGGGGAAGATAGAGCAGCCGCATTCCTGCCTGCTGTCCGAAGCCAAGCGGTAAGTGACATGTGTGGGCCACAACAGTCCCTGCTGACCCTGTCCCAACTTCTGAGCATGTAAAAACACCCATAGCTGCTGCCTTGCTTCTGCCCTCCATGTCTCACGCAGAATGTCTGTAGCACTACATTATAACGGGAAACTAGGGAAGAGAAGCTTTAGAAACACAGTTCATCCTAGACAGGTTTATACCTTGCAAAATCAACACACTGATTCTTCCCTGTAAAAAGGGTTTCCTGTCCTTCACCATGTTCTACTACAGTGTAGGAGGGCTGGCCACCTACCCGATCTTCCCAGCCACCTTGCTTTCATTCCCCAACATCCAGTCAGTCTGGTGCTTCCCCCTCCCCTCCATATACATCCCAAGCTCCCTAGTCAGTGAGATTCTGCTGTCTTTGAATATTATATCCACAATGATCCTTAAATTTAAAAGTTGGGACCGGTTTTTGTTTATCTTGTAAACTGTCCTACAAATGTTATTCAACCAGAGTGTGCTCTAAATAATCTAACTTATAAATACATATAGCTTTGTAATGTTCACAAAATTGTGTTACAATTTTCACAATTTGTTATAAAACTCAGTTAGTCATGGCCGTAGTGGGGAGGGACAGAATAAGAATAGAAATATCACAGATACATCACTGCACATACTTGTAAAGTGCAGTCTATTGACTAAGTTTGACTTAAAAGGTATTTTTTTGCTTTGATGTAATAACTAACATATCCAAAATAAATGTACACCTCTTATAATAGGGATAAAATAAAATACAATTGTATTTTATTTTAGAAGGATAATAACTGGTTATAAAAAATGACCTTGTCATTCATATAAATGGCATATATTTCAAACTGTTGGTTATTTTCTATGCCAGACTTATATAAATAACTATCAGCCTTGAATGTAGTATACTAGAACACTTAATCACAAATAGAAATGCCATGAATCCAAAGATAAGCCTTCTCTTTAAGCCTTCCTCTTTTGCTAGAGCTGAGTTAGCTAAAGGCAACACAGTAATCATGCATGATTACCCATAAGTTTGCATCCTTGGTTACTATGAGAAAACAGCTGTGTCTTTGGAGTCATCTTTTATACACATTAGTGGGAGATCAGTTACCCTAATGCCTGTGATTGAACCTGAATTGGATAGATTTGTTAATCAAACAATAGTCTTAGTGAGCTCACTCTTCTTGCTTCCCTCTATACAGATAAAAAGATAGAGACAGGGAGGGAGAGAGAGTAAGGGAGGGAGGGATATGAAGGCAGGCAGGCAGGCAGGCAGGCATTATAGGGAAATGAGCCCTGTGTAGTTCTTATTCATGCAAATCAATATAAATATTTGCATAAATATAAACATATATGTATCTTTCTAAAAGGAAACTAAGTCCCTGATTTTCTTTAAGCTCTGTCAAAACTGTAATATAATAGAGAGGTATTTTAATTATACATGTGTGTATTTATATATTATTTATTTAATGCTATTTAAAACATCAACAGTCAGAGATCACTTTCTTGGTTTAGAAAAATATACATGAATTATGATGAGAAAGAGACTAGAAAAATTATCCTGGTTTAATCAAAGAAAAATGGGCACAAAAAGAATGTCAACTGAGAGTATGCAATTATAATCTGAATATAATTTTACTCCCTGGTGTAATATACATGATTTTAGTTGGCATGTTGCTATTTATGGAAATATCTGTTAATGTAGTTTACATTATATAGAAACTTACATTAAGAGCTTCAAATGAGTGAAATAGAGCCTGTGTGTGGGAATATGGGAGTGTGGGGTTTTATGAACATCCACATAAAATAATGGGTGAGTAGGGACATGACCACTGATTAATTTCAACCCAGGCAGGACACCTCCAGCACAATTTCCTAATAGCACCCAGTATTCTGTTAGGTTTCATTATTGATTTCTATCTTTCACATTCAGAATTCCATTAAAAATTAATATTTAACATGTAGCCTTTTTGGTTTTTTTCTTAGTTTTCATATGAATATTTATGTTCCAATACATTCTTTTAAAAAATTTTTTAATCTTTATTTTTTAGAGAAAGAGTGAGAGGACACAAGCAGGGAAGGGGGAGAGAGAGAGGGGGAGAGAGGATCTGAAGCAGGTAGTGTGCTGACCACAGAGGGGCTCCATATGGGGCTGAAACTCTCGAACCGTGAGGTCATGACCGGAGTCAAAGTCGGGTGCTTAACCTACTGAGCCACGGAGGTGCCCCTGTTCCAGTACATTCTGATATGATTCTTAAACCCATATAGAAAGTAAATGGGGAGGGGTACCTGGGTGGCTCAGTTGGTTGAGCGTCAGACTTCGGCTCAGGTCATGATATGGTTCATGGGTTCGAGCCCCACGTTGGGCTCTGTGCTGACAGCTCAGAGCCTAGAGCCTGCTTCTGATTCTTTGCCTCCCTCTCTCTCTGACCCTTCCCTGCTCATGCTGTCTGTCTTTCTTTCTCTCAAGAAAAATAAATAAAACATGTTAAAATTTTAAAAAAAGAAAGTAAATGGGGAATAATCTTGATCATTCAATAATGTATTTTGTATACAAGTTTTTGTTTGTTTCATTGTAAAGAGAACAAAAGTACCAAGGAAGCTATACATTCTGGCCACAAGCAGTGTAATAAAAAGAGGAGCTGACACACGTCTCATATATTTTTAGGGAGGACAGAATAAGAATAGTACAAGAATATCACAAGTACATCACTGCACACACTTGTAAAGTGCAGTCTCATGAGTGACCAGATTTCTAATACCCTCATTGTGTAGTCTGGAAACTGTGTAATCTGAAAGAAAAAGAGTGCACCAACTGTGAACTCAGCCTCTTTCTCTTCTACAGATAACAAAGGGAAATAATTTTAGAAATTTTAACAAAAAATCTGATTTTCAGAATGCCACCTTGAACCGCAAGAGTGTATGGGCCTTAGGTAAATAAACTTAATCCAGGTAACCTTGCTCTTTGAGTTTTGGACCTGTCAGTGCGTAAATAGTGATTTCTAACCAGATTGTTAGTGTAATTATTTTTCAGCTCAAAAAAAATAACATTCTGAATAAACAAACAGAAACCTATGTAAAATTCTTAGTGTTGACTCACACACTTAATAGTAGACTGGAAACTCAAAGGTATTAGAGTATCAGTTCCATGGCTCGCTTGGTTTTCCATTACAGAGTTTTGAGTAGGGGGCACCTAATCTCTGCTTAAATACTTTTATCGATGGAAACTGTCTGAACTTCCAAATTGGTAGAGTTGGTCTTTTCATGAAAATTCACACTAAAATGCAGTTAAATTTCCCAGGTAAAAATACGAGCGCTCATGCAGGCTGTGTGCCTTCTCTTCTCTGCCATTTTAAGGCTAAGGCAGACTTTCAACCTGCTGCAGGTCTTATTATCATGCTTCTGAAATGATAGAAAAATAAATAGGCAGGCCTGGAGTTCTGAGATTTTCCTTAATGGTATTGTTGCTATAGTTACAGCTGAAATGTTATATAAAGCAAATTGCTTATTGATGGAAAAATGCTGAGTAGCATACCAGCTTCCCTTTTCTGGCTTTTTATTGCCTTCATTTCCTACTTTGCTCTTAAGATTAATGGATTTGTGGAGTGTTGTCTTGAACAAGCCCTGATGATTTCATGTTAAAATAAATGCATTTTATTAACATTGTACCAGCTGACAATTAAATATATTCTAGTATGTTGTGATCAACATGGAGTTATTTTTTATATGCTATTTGTTTATAAGGATTTTACCTACTTGGACATGACTTTGCTATCCTGGTTATTAATGTTGAAACACTGAATAAAAAGGTGACTGGTCTTATAGTATAGAGTCTTCTGAATTTATTTAATACAGTTAATAATACAGATAAAAACTTTTACTATGTTTTATACTATTATATAATACTGAAAATATATTTTAAAAACAGTAAAATAAATGAAAATGATCTGAGAGGATCCATAATGATGACTTGTGTGGTTACAAAAAGAAAGCCTACATAAGCATCTGTATTTTTCTGTGTGTTTTATTTTCTATGCAGTAAATTCAATGATATAAATGCCTTTAGTATATATAAATATATATTACATTATATATATATATATATTCATTTTCTGATTGCCTTTCTTTATAAGCATATATTTAAAAGATAAAGCTGTAAGTCCTGATATTTAACCTTAAGGCAAAATATGAATCGTCCTGTAGTTTGCAATTTACAGAAGTGTGGGGTGAAATCCTTCCAGGTGGTAAAAGTCATAGATGGCAGTGATACTTTTTGCATTGATTTTTTTGTGTAATTTAGGCATGTGGCTTATTTTGTGTCCAATTTGCTACTGGCCTAGAAACATTATGACTATTTAATGATGTGGCTCTTGGAGAAGAACTAAGAAAGCAGATAACATTTTGGGGGGATCTAGACATGTAATGCTTCTTAATTAAATCTCTGAATACAGTGATACAAAAATCTGTGAGATTATTTTTGGTAAAGAATGCAAAATTGTGAATGCTGGATTTTTACATCTTATGTGATTGTAGGATATTTTCCAAATTGTCATTTTGAAGCCAGTTTTTCTAGTAATTGTGTTTGCCTTTAATGATGATGATAATGGTGGTAACCGATATTGTCCACAATGAACTTTTTTGAAAATTCATTTTTACTCATTGTTAGAATGTGATCAATTTTGCTTTTCTCATTTGTGCTTTTGACTTTACCCTTGCCTCTGCCTTTCCTTATCCCCTCCTTTAATAAACAAAATTTAAATTTGCCTGTTTACAGAAGTATAAAATTTTTGGTGTTACTATAGTTCCCCTCCTTTTTAATTCCTTAATGATATTATAACTTCCTCTGCTTAAAGAATTTGTTGGCATTCTAATTTTGGTTCTAGGGCTGCAGAAAGAAGAGACACATGTATAAGAATGCCAGTTCAGGGGCACCTGAGTGGCTCAGTCATTTAAGTGTCCAACTTTGACTCAGTTCATGATCTCGCAGTTCGTGGGTTTGAGCCCCACATCAGGCTTTGTGGTGACAGCTCAGAGACTGAAGCTTGCTTTGGATTCTGTGTCTGCCTCTCTCTCTGTCTCTACACAATAGATAAATGTTAAGAAAAATTTTTAAAAAAAGACTGTCAATTCAGCTTTTCTAATTGTCTGTTGAAAAATACTCCTTTGTGATTCATGAATTATCAAATTCCTTATGTTCTAAACAGATTTATCAGACAATCTTGTTAAAATCATTATATGCTTTCCATTTTACATTTATATGATATGATGTGATATGATATGATATTAATTTTAATCTGTGTCTAATTCCTTCTACTTGAATGGGAGTTTCCTGAGAGAATAAGCCTTACACATACCCAATAGTATATGTACTCCATAGATATAAATAGAATAAACTATATACATAATAGATACATAAGTGTTTATTATTTGACATGATAGTAACATCAGTTTCCAAATTAATTTTGGTGACAAAGTATAAAGTCAAGAGAATTAGATCTGTCCTTATGATCTTACTTAAAATGCAAATCACTAATGCAACAGAGAGACCAAGTATAAAAATATCAAGTTTAACAGAATATGGATGGAATGTAAGCAAAACACAAATTGAACTAGCCAGCCAGGCTCTCAGGATAAGATGCTTTTTCTTTTAGACTGACACTTTTGCCTTCCCTTTGTCTTGCAGATGGTAGTGTAGGTTAACATTGTTGTAGCTTTATCAAACATTATTTTAAATTGGGAAAATGAAGTACTTTATATGACATTATAGATTAAATAGATTATACCTTTTATCCCCTTACCTAAATTTCAAATATATGAAAATGAGTATTCTACCTTGCAATAGTCGCTTTATTTTCTCAATACGTTTTATTTTTTTCTTTTTAATTGTTTTTTGTTTATTTGCTGTTGAGAGAGAGAGAGAGACGGAGTACAAGCAGTGGAGGGGCAGGGAAGGAGGGAGACCGGAATCCAAAGCAGGCTCCAGAGCCATCAGCACAGAGCCGGACTGTGGGGCTTGACCTCACAAACCATGAGATCATGACCTGTGCCGAAGTCAGATGCTTAACCAACTGAGCCACCGAGGCAGCCCTCGATACTTTTCATTTAACAAGAGCTGTGTACCATTGCAGTATCATATGCCATGAGTAATAAGATATGATAACTTTGTAAAAACAATTTGCTCCAAAATCTCAAATAAAATAACATTTTTATAGTTGATAAAAATTTGCAATGTAATGATACCTGTATTTCTGGTATATTAAAAACTTCCTAACTTATTTACATTAGGACAAGGCCTGGCAGGAATACTTAACACACACCTGCATTTGGTTTATAAAATCCATGTGACAAAACAGCAGTGATGCAGCTATTTTTGTCTGCTTTTGTTTAAAAAAAAATGTCAGGTTCTGAATGAAAATATTCCAAACTGTGGGTCAACTGAGTAATGGTTTTTAAAATCACAGCATGGATTAAGATTGATTTTCTGTAGGTATTATGGTACTGCTTTCTCCAGGGACTATTCAGCACAAGGGCTGGAGCTTTTCATATTTGACATAAGGGATCAAATCAGTTTCTATTCCTAAGACTTTTATATAAAGTTATTATATAAAGAAGCCACAATTCACTATAGAGCTGCTTAGACCTGAAATTAAGAAGGGAATTGGTATTGGATGATCATACACACAAAAAGAAAATGAACCCGTAATACATACTAATGTTTTATAATAAGACAGCATTTTACAAAAGGTCAATAATTGACTTTTGTCTTTACTCTTTAGGTAAGCAAATAGGAATTATGATGGATTACAGATTGCAAAACAGTCATTTTTATTAAGCATCATTATTTACATCTCTAAAGAAATTGGAAGCTAAAATAAGAAATGAAACTTAGATCCCTGATAATATTCTAGAACAATAAGTAATTTTTGTCTCTAAATAATTTAAGTCATGTAGCTAGAATGATCCAGTATGAAAAGCAGTTTGAAACTGAACTTCTCAAAAAACAGTGCAACATATGAACACAATTCTTTTGTGTGACTTATAACTGCAATCTTTACAAAATAGATATTCATGAAATGTAACAATTAGAATCTACATATATAGCCTTTATTTCTTACATTATAATAGTTACACGGTAAGAAAAAGGACACCGTACATCAATAGGGAGACATTCTGCAATATTACTAGTCACATAATCAGTCTCCCATGCCATCATCTGTATGTGTTATAAGAGAGTGATTTTCAGAATTTCGCTTGCAAAGGAATCAGTCAAGAATTAATGAGTTTATTGACAAGGCAAATCCTTCCTCCTGTCCAGGATCCTGTTAAAACAGTTAGCAATTCCTAGGAAACTGCTTGTCTTATGACCACCTTGGTTGATTGGTGCAGGTGGACTGTAGATTACACTGAGGAGCAGAAATATAACAAACTGTTTGAGTCAGCATTTCAAAAAACCCTGGGGGATAAGATATCAAACCATTGAGCCAGTGATTGCATTTTGCCCAGTTGAATAAGAAATGTGAATATTATTAAGAATGAAATTATTTTTTAGTCCTAAAGCTGATAGAGAATTATGCACAAGTGATTCCTGAAAACTTTCACATACCTTGTGAAGTTTTACTCTGGTAGATAAAGCTGCATTTGACCCACATCAAGAAATAGGAGGTTATACATTAAATCCTAAAAGAACTCTTGATTAATTGTAGTTAAAAGAAAATGACCATTAAATTTAATAATTTTGTATAGACATAGGATGGAAATACCAGTTTTGAAGCCACCAAACTCAAAAATGTGCTGTTTGGAGCAAATGTAGATTTTTCACCAAGAAGAGAGAATGATTCCTGGCTCCATCTTTAGTGCCACACACACACACACACACACACATGTTTTCTTTCTTATGATGAGGAGAACAAATTGCCAATCTGTAGGCATTCCTCATATTTTTCTATTATAAATAGTCTTTTTGAAGTTTTACCTAGAAGCACTATTTCATTTGAAAAACAGTGATCTATTTTCTCACTGTATGAAAAAGCAACTAGAAATCACCAAATGTTAACCGTAGTATATAAGCAACCAAACCGAAGCATTTTAAAATAGTTAATCTCTTTATCGTTGTTTTATTTACAGATTCAAGAATGGCTTTGTTTAAATTGCCAAACCCAGAGAGCAATATCAGGACAGCTTGGAGACATGGGAAAAATGCCACCTACCCCCTCAGCACCAAAAGCCTCTATGCCTGTCCCTCCAGGACAACCAGCTCAGAAAACAGCGATGCCTACCCAAGCAAAAGTAAAAAAGAAGGAACAAGAAGTAAAAACAGAAGCTGAACAAATCATTCCAGAAAAAGTAAAAGAGATACCGTCAGTGGAAAAGATTGTCCCGAAGGTGACCACAGACCCCAAACAAGAGAGTAAACTAGAGAAAGACAAAACTTCAGCCCCTGAAGACAGAGAGCCACTCCCTGAAGACAAAAAGCTGCCTCTTGAAGAAAAAAAGCCAACCATTGAAGACAAAACGCCAGCCCTTGAAGACAAAAAGTTACCTCCAGGAACAAAAACATCAGCTCTGGAGGAGGAACAGAAACAAGAGTTACTTAAAACTCAAGTACCAACTGCCGAGGACAAGCCTGAAGTCAGAGTGGCTCCACAGCTCGTACAAGACAAGCTACCACAGACCAAGATGGAAGACAAACCCTCTGGCCCATCTCCAAGTTTGTCCAAGGAAGTTGATGAGGCGACTCAAAAAATTAAAGACCAGCCCCAGGCAGCACGCACTGCAAAGCCTGATCTGGTGGAAACTGGGAAAGAAAAAACAGTAAGTTATGTTTTCCTATCTTTGCACATTCTTAGGCATATGAAATTTACAAATTTTTACCTAGGTACACAGAGTATTTAATGCTATTTATGCAAGTGAAAGCCTTCAGTTAAAATCACTTTCAGAAATGTGTAACATTGTTGGCTGAAATAAGCAACTTGGGTGTTTTGACAGCTTAATCTAATAAGGCAGAGATATCAGATTGATTTTTTTCTAGCTTTTATGCATATCTAATAATTTACCAAATTTCTTTAGGGTGGTAAAAATAGTTTCTTACAAGTTTAAGTTTCTTCTCTCCACTATGAACGTAAAATCAGTATCCGCCTTTAGCATAAAATAATATGTGTCTTAAGTTTCTGTTTGTTACTTGGTTGAGCAAAAGTCAACAAGTTCCTTTTCACTTGAAAGCCTTTTAAGATATGATCAACCATTGAAAGATTTAAACAATTGTGATTGCATAAAAAAATATTAAAAAAATATTAAAAAAAATAAATAAATAAATAAATAAACAATTGTGATTGCAAAAAAAAAGTGTGGGTGAAATTTAGGACAAAAGTTATTTTTTTAAAAGTTAATTTTAATATTTAACATGATTTTAATATGTACTCCACTTGGAGTTTGTTTAATGTTTTTAATATTGAAGGATTATTTATAATTCAGGCATAATTGGAATAATATATTTTTTTCTTTAGATGAAACTTTTAAGAGTACCCACCCATTTTAACCACTATCTGCACAAGTTTTTTTTTTTTTCCCCCAAAGGGCTCTGATTGTTTTAGAGCTACACAAGAACTCACATCATATTTGGGTGAATAATTTTAATTCACAGATAACAGGAAGACTTTAAAGAAAATGAAATGATTTATTAATATTAAAAGTTAATCTTAGAACTCTAATTAGAATCTATAGTCCATCTCAACTCTGATTTAGTTGCTTTTTGATTGTTTACAGTTTTAACCATTGGTGAGTAACTTATCTCTGATATATGATATATTGTATAAATGAAATGTATCATATCCTATATATCACATAATCTTATATGTAAAATATGATACATCACTTATAATATGATGCATCACTCAGACAATTCATCATTGGTCTTCCTTCATAATATAAATGAGTTTATTCTTAAATCTACCCATGTATCTTCTTCCCCTCTTTTGAGTATTAGATCTGTATTTTCAAATACTCAGTGGGTGTTTCCCTTCAAAGGTCTCTAGAAATGGCAGTATCGTTCACCTGTCTCTCCTTTCCCGGTCACTACCCTTCTTAGAGATCTGAGGTTTCTTCTTACTGTGTGCCATTTGCTCTCCGCATACAATTCATGACATTCCTGTCTGTTAGCTCTGATTCCTGAGGACACTCTTAATTAAGGCCTTCAAGACCTTTCACTAATGATTTGAGTAATCTAATTACTGGTCACTGTGACTCCTCCTTCTCCCTTCTTCCATATATAGTTGTCAGATAGTTATTTCCCAGGGCGCATATAATTTAACTCTATCACTCAGATATTGCTAATGATTCTCCATTGCTTATTAAAGAAATCTAAATGAGAAATATCCAAATATTTTGTTAATGCACGTTTTATTATATACCTTTATCACTTTTGTTTAATCGTGTCCTTTATTATACTTTTACTTTTATTTTATAACCTTATTATGTGTGTACTTATTTCCAAATTAAATGTGTATGCTGATTTACTAATATAATATTCATCACAGAGAACATTCACAAACATGTAAAATAAAATGAAATAAGCTAAAATTGTTTTATTATATTTATTGAAGTAAAGATACATTTAATCACAATAAAATATGATTAATAATAGCACTTTAAAGAGAGCATTGATGGTGCTTCAGTATTTTTGCAAATCTTGGCCTGAAATTTTATGATACAGTTATCTAAAATTCAGCTTCCAAGTTAAGCTTATTTTGATATTTTGATATTTAGTTCTAATGACTATCCATAACAAGGAAGATAATCCACAAAGACATCTCAGAATTAGAAGCGGTTCAGAGTTTGTACTTGCCATTTCTTGCTACCGGTTCTCTAAGTTTGAAATTGAAAATAATTTTTTAATTGTGGAAATTCTGAAAATAAGTGTTTATATTCCATGAGAGCAATAATTATTCTTGTTCTGTCAGAAAATGTGGTATTTAAAAGAAAAAAATATATAAGTATACATACATACACACGCACCCACATGCACACACACATATAAACGAATTGCTTTAAAACCCACTGGGATTCTTCATCTGGAAGGCTTAGAAAGAGATTAAAATATTCTGTTTAAAATTTATTAAATGAGCAGATATGAAAGCTTTTAAAAATAAGGTATTTTATATAGCATGATCACATGGTTTCCAAATACCTGTTTTCAAAACTGTTTTTGCATCATAATTCTCTTAGGGAACAGCTAAATGTTTGTTTTTTCTAAATAGCTAATAAGTAGCATATTACTGATAACCAGGGTTTACCTTCCCCATCTACGTTTTTCCCCTCCATCATTGCATTTACTTTATACCATCTAGTAAGTGGTATATTGCTGATAACCATTTGGCATCACCAAATAGTTGAACAAGTTTGGAATTCTACTTTTGTCAAAAAAGAATTATATCCTCATATTCTACAACTTTTTAAATTAATTTCCTATTATATAATCAGTAAACCTCTGTGATTAAAGTGATTTTATAGTTATTCTTTATCTCAATACAAAATATACAAAAATAGACATTCTTCGAAATATGAAGGTCTCATCAGTATACAAAACATAGATCATATCTGTAAAATCCAGAGGCCTTCTATCCAATTCTGGCCTACTTGTAACATGTAGTAAAAGAATTTCACAGGTATACTGCCATCTCTATAATCTTACCCTTTTTAAAAAAGTAATTCTAATCAAAGAAAAAGCCACTCTTAAGTAACTAATATACAGTTATATATTGGTGTGTATATATATGTAAATATATATTAGTAGATACTCATATACAGTTTTTTCACAAAAAATAAATATGTATACCTTAAATCATTCAATATTGAGGCTTATTTCACTGGTATATTTTTCCTTAGTGGCTTGCAGTACTAGTACTTTAAATATTTTACCATTAAAGTTGAAATAGTGAATATTATAAACTTAACATATTAGCAATGTCTACACTTTGATTATTACCAACACTTTTGCTACCTACTTTGTTCTAAATATTTCTCCCAAGCCTTCCAATTATTTCTGTAATCTTTCCAACAATATTTGCTGACAATAGACACAGTTTGATTTGTCACCATACCATTTCGTACAAATTACTGAATCTGATTTTCCATGGTGGGTAAATCAGCTTTATCCAAATGATGTGTAACTTTTTTTTGGTCTTTTATTATGAAATAAGAAAAATCAAGGATTCCAAATGTGTATTATGCAATATATTGAAAGTTGGTAAAGTACCGGCATATTTATTTTCAGAAAATTTTAGAGATGTGTGATGGTGCCATAATTTCACTTGTTATCATGCTAAGCATGTTGTGTTTAGCTAAGATTTGACATTAGCAATAAGAGATGTCAATACAGATATCAGATAGGTCTCCTCATAACGTTAGACGTTTTTGGCTGGGTCACATCTGATTTAACTTGGTCATCGTTATTTTTTTCTTGTCATGGTGCTGATGAAAAGTTTGTAATGGTATGAAGCATGTCAGTGTTTGTGTATTTCTAATATTATTATCTTTTGGACGTGATTTTTTGTTTCACAAGAATCTTTTGTCTACCACTTACTTATTCAAAGAAAATGGGTGTAATTGTTAGTAACAAATAAAAGCCAGAGATCTGTCTAACTGAATAATAAGCCTCAGACTAAAGTTGCATGAATAAAATGACTCCCTCACTATAACTTCTCTTAGAGTGTAACTCTCCGTTTTCTCCCAGGATTCTTCACAAAACAGGGGACCAACTCACATAAGGAGTAAAAGAATATTAGCATCAATCCATTTATTAAATATTAGGAGAATATTTTTATATTGATGTATAAAAATATATCTTAGCATGTACTTCTTGTAGCCCATTAGATGATTTTGCATGCTTTCCAGGCTTCTGCACTCCATGGCCAGGAGTACTGTCTAAATAACTCAGTTTGGCTTTCTGTGGAGAGGTTCCTGTAGAATTTGGCTCCAATACAACTTGTAAGCAACCCCTAATATTTCCCACAAGTGGGTTACAGAAAAACTGCCCAGTAAATATGGCTTTGTGTAATTCCTGAGGGTAGTTTGACAGTTCTGCCCTCCAAGTGTACTCAGTTCTCTGTGCATAGATGCCGCACCCAACTGAGAACCATCGTCCCAACTGACAGTCTTCCACCTGGATCTCTGGGCCACTTTTCTCACCTGTGGCTGGCACTTGTGCTGCTCAACTCCCAATGCTGATTGGTGTTAAATTTGTTTTTGTTTGAAATCAAAATAATACTCAATTTATCTCTTACAACATTCTTGGCACTATGTTAAGTATTTTCTTGGTCATTTCATCCACACAACAATGAATGAGATAAATATTGTATCTTTTTAAAATTGAGGGGAACTAAAGTTCTGTGCCCAGGATCACATGGCTGGGGAGTCAGCAAAGCTAAGATTGTAGATCCAGCTCTGATTATAATATCATGGTGTTTAAGCACTACACATAATTCTTTCCTGTGACCCGTGTGGCATACTGCCTTTACAGTATTATAGTTATTCTTCTCTCTCAGCAGCTCCCACTAAAATCCCAAACACTTTATGTCAGGTTTTACTTTGTTATATATTTATGTTATTTTATTTATTCATCTGTCATTTGTGTCCTTCATAGTATGGCAGCATATTGTTTACATTTCTCTGTTGCCATACCTTTTTTTCTCTGTTTATTCCTCTCGTACAAAATGTGTTTGTTGAAAGGGATTAAAATGTATCCCAAAATGTAATAAATAATTTGAAAGATATATTCTTCTTTAGTTTTTTAGTTAAATATTTTAAAATTTCATGTT